TAAGTGCATTCTGGGAGTTGTTGTCTTTCATCCACATCAGCTAAAAATACATTTTCTGGCTTTTCTAAGTCTAGAAAGCTGCAGATTCAAATGTAATTTCAAATTTCTTCTACATAAATGACCCATTTTAAATACGCATTCATCTTTCCAGAGGTGGATTATCCCTTTAAGCGGTGATTGTGACACTATTTTCTTCTGGAAACAAACTGCGTTGCATTATGTTCCTGCTATCTCTGTAAAGCTGCTTTGAAACACTCAGCGCTTTATAAATGATGGTGACTTGACTCTAGGAATGGGATCAGACGAACCTTGACCACCAGACTGGAGAACTGAAGGTTTGGAGAGTGCGTGAGGTGCAGGATCGTGCCGTACGCGTTCTCTCCTCGGTTCTCCAAACGCGCCTCGACCAGGACTTTCCTCCGGCTGGCCTCCACCACACGCTCATTACTCGCTCTCGCTCTCTGATGGACACACACCGGCCACGAGGAGCGCTCGCTACGCACGCAGAACTGCCTGAAACACACAGAGACACGGGGTCAGCTACTTCTACGCTGGGAAAAATGGTCTAAAAGGGTTGTCCGTAGTCTCTTAATGGGTGTGTTTTGGGCGTAACGTGCAAAAAAAACAATCAGAGTGTAATCTCTCACTCCATTAAAGCCAGTTGCGCTCGCGCCGTGACGGATTCACTATTTACATGGAGGAATTTGCAAGCGGAAAGACTAGCGAGGAAGCGGATCGAGGTTAAAGCTATGTGTGAGTGTGTGTGAGGTTAAAGCTAGACCATCTACAGGTACGGGACAAGCCGAAATACACCATATCTTTATGTACACAATAATAATCTTTTACTTTGTAATCCCTTTATTTTTAATATTTGTCATGTTTATGTGCTGCTGCACGTCCCTGGGTGTGTAATAAGCTGAGGTGTGTTTCAATGTGTGAGGAAAGCACAAACCTGCGATCTAATAAGTCGGAGCTGCTCTGCAAGACGAGATTGGGAACACACTGATCGTCATTATCACAACCGTTCCAGAACGGGAGCTAGAAAGAGAGAAAGAGAGAGATATTTTAGAAGACTGCATGACAAAGAAGTTATGGTAACGCTTTACAATAAGGTTCATTAGTTAACTGTAACAATGAGCAATACATTTGTTACAATATTTATTAATCTTTGTTAATGTTAGTTAATACTAATCCAGCTGTTGTTCACGGTGCATTAACTAATGTTAACAAATACAACATTTGATTTTAATAATGTATTAGTAAATGTTGAAATTAATATTAAGTAACATTAATAAATGCTGAAGAAGTATTGCTCATTCTTAGTTAATGTTAACAAATGAATCTTATAGTAAAGTTTTACCGATATTATCAATCTGACGTGCAATTTATACGCGAAAATGAGTTTTTGTGCGCATATGTTACACACTTTATTGCGCGTAATATTACACACATCACTAATGCTACCCAAACATATAATATATACGCACCCCACACCACTAATAAACCTACCCATGCGTATCATATGCACGTAAAAACCCGTTTTCGCGTATAAATTGCTTGATAATGAGCGGGTGTGTCCGTCTCACCTCTGATTGCAGACTGGTTGGCCACCCGTCGTCCAGAACGGCCCTTCTTCTGTGTTTCGCAGGCCGGCGTTGACAGTGAAGATCACGGGTCGTGTGTAGTCTGTCACTTCCTGTGTAAACACCATTTTGTTTCAAAACACACTGCACTCAACTAATCTTTAGGCCTTAATTGCAAATAAAATGTCCATCCATTTGGATTCCACAGTTTTTTGCATAAACAAGCTAATATGGTGCATATTTGTCATTGAAGCATGAAATATGTCATATCCCTGTAATAGTACTAATACATTGAATGCGTTTTAAATACACAATAAACAGCTTATATATTTATCATTAATAAATCCGATTTGTTTCAATTTCATACATTTTCACTAACTGTATTTTCTTGTTTAACCATTAAAAATGTCATTTTCATAAGGAACAGAATTATGCTGATTCTAAGCGATTTGAATAAATGCATTTTGAAAATGTGATTTCAATAAAATCAAAAAATAATAGATCAAATATATTCATGGTTTGCCAGAAACATACATTTTGTAATTGTAATATACAAAATTTTTTATTTTTTTTTTAGTTTTCAGCCTCATTACTCCAGTCTTTAGTGTCACATGATCCTTCAGAAATCACTCTAAAATGATGATGTGATGCTCAAGAAACATTTATGATTATTATCAATTGTGAAAACAATTCTTCTTTTATTGAATTCTTTTATTAATAGAACAGTATTTGTTTGAAACAGAAATCTTTTGTAATAATATAAATGTCTTTACTGTCACTTTTTCTTAATTTAATGGATCCTTATACTGAATAAACCTAGTAATTTGGGTAACTCTTTACTTGAAGTGTCCATAAGACTATTATGACACCTTCATAACCATGACACGACACGTTATGAATATGAAAGAAGTTTTTTGCATGTTTATGACAACTGTAATTTAGTGTCATTCGCTCAATTATGACATTTTTAATGCAAATATGACATTGTTTGAGATGTTTTTGCTATGACAACTTGACATAAACCAATACATCAGTGTCCTTGTCATGAAAACTTGACATTACTAAGACAACACAACCTGTCATAAACATGATTAATGATCACACTTAAGAAACCACCTAGCTTTATTGGTTAACATTACATTAAACAGTCAGGTGGTGTTTTGGCATTGGCTGTCATGAATTATTTTTCAGTCACATTTACCTTTTTATTATAGGGTTGAGAAGGGGTTGTGGGTGGAAATATCGTTGTATGTTGTGATTTTAGTGTGTGAGTGTGTGTGTGTGTTGTGTGTGTGTGTGTGCGCGTGCGTGTGTGCGTGTCAGTGAGGTTATTAAGTACATGTTATATGCTCTTGAAGAATGTTGGATGTTTTATGTTTGATATGCCAAATATTCTTGAATAGTATTGATATTTTAATCTGTGTCGTATGTATCTGTATTTATTTGTGCCGGGGGACTGCAGATGTAAATTAAGCCTAAGGCTAAACTCTGGTGTAATGCATCAAATGTTTACATTTATGTTATTAATTGCACATGGTCCCTTTAAATAAAAATCAATTCAATTCAATTATAACTTTTAATGACTGTAGTTGAGGTCACGAAAAATATTCATGACACAGTTATAATGCCTCATGACAGACAAGGTCAAAGCCAACCACATGACAGTTTAACTTAATTTAATGTCAGTTTGTCATGACAAAGACACTGACAGGTTATGATGTATTGGTTTATGTCAAGATGTCATTACAAAGACATCTTAAACAAAGTCATATTTCCATTCAAAATGTCATTATTGAGCGAAAGACTGTTGTCATAAACATGCATGAACCCTATTGTCAACCATATGTCATGTCATGATTATGAAGGTGTCATGGCAGTCTTATGCACACCCCTTCAAGTAAAGTGTTACCCATGTAAGCTTAAAAAGGGATAAACATGATGAACAGAAAGTGTCTCACATGAACGTGGAAATACACTTGCAGGCAGTGTTTTGAGTCTATCCGCAGGGTGACGTCTCTGGCTGAGGGTCTTCGGTGCTGTCTAACACGACTCTGGGGAAATATCCGTTCTCCTCGAAGCCAAAGCTGTATCTCAGTGCTGAGCAGAAAGACAACATCTCAGTGCTTTTTCTGTAGGTCAAACCGTAGAGCGTTGGCGTTTGCAACGCTAAGGTCATGGGTTTGATCCCCAGGGAAAGCAAGAACTGATAA